ATTGTGGTGCAACATGAAAAGCAAATAAACATAATCAGTGTTGATCCGTCGCTGCTACAACGCAATACAATGCAGACACACACTCACATTTTAATTTGTTCCAATTTTGGTAATAAATTGTATTTGCACGATATCATTGATGCTTATCATTTATTGGATTGCGCACTCGTTCGTTGGAATATTTTATCGTTGCTGGATAAACGCGAAGAGTGAGAGAGAGTGGGAAAAGATTAGCAAATGTGCTTCCACGGGAATCCATGAATGCTGTTTGCTGCCCTTCGGCCATCGGAGTTTATGTTGCAGTTCGTCGCATGAATAACAACTGAATTTGTTCCACATTTGTTGTGCAAATTGGGTGTAATTTGACGTAATTGCATTTTATACTGTGTAGAACGTAATCTAATTTCACCCCTTTTTCCGATGCTCTCTTTCTCCCTCGCGAAAGTTCGCTGGGATATTGAATGATGCAGAAAAATGATTCTGATGACGTCAATTTATCATCCAAAATATCTGATTGCATGAAATTGATATCAAACAGCTTTGACTTTCGGTATGATTTTAGATGAATTGCTTTAATAATGCACGGAAAGAGAGCTTTTGGACAAAAGCTCTCTCTCTCCTCCGGGGAGGAAATGATGTCACGCGGAGTCAAATCACGCTTTTCAACCCCACAAAAGCGGAACACCATGAATTCACTTCCTTCACTGCGGAACATATTTTACAACTCAACTTGCACATGAAACATTAGCAATGCGAGATAAAATGGCACTTGATTTACAAGAAAATGTGAGCTTTAAGACTTCAAATTTAAGATTTTATTTACACAAAGATACATATTTTTTTCCCAAAATGTTTCTCTACAAAGAGAAATTGCAAATTTTTTGCACGTTTCATGTGAGATAAAAAATGTGGAACACATTTCTGTGCCGTATGCAAATGTTGCTGGGAAATTAATGAAAAAGTCGGCATGTTAAAAAAAGAGGGAGATTTCATTATCAGAATTGGGTCACACTGGAAAATTTTTCCACCCTCATTTGCCATTCTTCGCATTTCATATAATGAATCGCATTCTTCAAGTGTTAATATTTCATTACTGAATTCATAAAAATTCTTGTTTTACTTTTGGTCTTCTGGTTCTCATTTTTTTTTGTTAAAAAAAACTCTACTATAAAATGCAAACTGAGCGATGAAAGTCTGAGGACAGTTTGAATAATTAATGGACTAGAAAGAAAAATTCAACAATCCCATTAAATTAGTCTCTAATTTAAGAATGCTTCTTTTTGTCCTCTTCATTCAACTGCAACTCTCTGGCAATTGTGCTGTGTTTTGTTCGCACTCCAAGTGAAAATGTGAGGGTGAATGAAACATGGACGTAGGCAAGGTTTAGACAAAATCAAACGTCGTTGCAAGATTACGGAATTCGTATTTCAATTCGTAAAAGCTACGAATTTCGTGTTGCAACTTCATATTTTCACAAATTGTATTGGCGGCCGTCCGGCGGATTTTATTTAATACGAATTTTAGCTGTCAAACGCGAAAAATGTGTTCAATAGGGCAAAATAGTTTATATCCAGTGATAAAACATCTTCTTCTGTGTCTGTTCCCGATATTGAGCGTGTTTCCGAAGGGATTCTTGAAGAATTCTGTTGACCAGAACGTTCGGGAAGATGTCTTTGGCATGACATTTTAGGAAGAATCGCGTTTTCGTACTTACAAAGAAGAAACAAACAACAAAAGTACTTCTAAATGCTGTCTAAACGCAATTAGTTTCTGTGGAAAGGATCAAAGATCGTCCAAAAACACATAACCTCAATTTGATGCATTGAAGTGTGCACAAATGGCCAGAAATATCCAAAAAATGTGTGCTCATGTTTCGAAACATCATTACTATTTATTTCCTTGGTTTTCACGTGAATTTTTTGGCTTTTCTTGTCTTAAAGATAAATTCTCCACTATCGTAAATAATATGAATCGTAATCTTGCAACAACCATTTTAAAAATTCATATTTTTGACAACTTATTTAATATGTTATGAAGGTAATGTTGCAACGACGCCTCATTCTGATCAGTTTTGCAACATATTTGACAAAAATCTTGGATATCACGGAACTTTGCCACTGAAAAGTATGTAAAATCCTCTATTCTTCCCCCTTTTTGGCTACGCCCATGGAGCGAAATGGTAAAACTGGGTAGTTCATTTAGAATTATGTACTTCCCTTCCTTAGCCATGCAATGAAATTTCACATTTTCCCTACAATTGCTAACAATTCTGGCTTGAATCACTGAAAACTTTAGGGCGGCAAAACTTTTAACTATGCACAATTGTTGGCAGAAAGAGGCACTAATTTCTGATTGAAGCTAATATAGCATTTCTCTATGCGATTGTCTATATTCTGTTACTATGAAGATTTCAACGTCAAAACGCACTGAAATTTATTAGAGAGTGGCGGAAAACAATGAAACCCAATAGAGTAAAAGCAATTTGTCAGGGAATAAAGTATCGCTGAAAGCATGTGGAGACGCCTTGGCAGACATCCAAATGGAGTACAACCAAGTATTCCACTTCTTCGTTGTCAGCAATTAATATTTATTGATTTACATTGCGATATTTTTGTTAATTTGTCCATTAAAAAGGCGGAAGAAGAAGAAGAAGAAGAAGAAGAAGAAGAAGAAGAAGAGGAAGTGCCAGTGAGCTTTTGCGGAAATTGGTGGAAAATTGGAAAAGTTGAGGGATTACAGATGGGTATTATAGGTTGACTGATGAGGTCATGATTCTAGAGATACTTTGCACCTACTATCGACCCAATATCTACTCTGTCCACTTTCCCACATTTATCCCGCTGTGATGAGCCTCAAGTGCTCTAGGCTCCCCTCCGCTTTTTCCACCCTCTCGTCCATTTATCCGCTTAATGGAGCCTAAAGCAATAAAGGCCTGCCAGGGTAACATTTGTTCTGGCACTCATGGATGCAAGCATCGCGTACACTTCGTATTTTTATGAAGATTGTCATGACTGACAGAGTGACGAAAGGCTGAGAGAAAATCAATGGAGGGAGGCAATTTTTCCACCCCATGTCGTCGCCGAGACTGAACAACTTCAAAGACTGCGCACACATCAAGCAGGAGAAGGAATCCCCTTTGTTTATCGCATGAGAAGATCATAAATTCATTCATAGAAAATATTTCCACCCTCATCGTCGATCTCCCAGACATTCCTCATGTCCGACAAAGTGCACAGAGGAAGAGAGAGAGAGAGAGAGACAATTTATTTTGAGCTTTGCCAATCCCACAAAAATGTGGAGATTGAAAGATATTCAAGGATGGTGAAATCAGGGACAGAATTCACTGATTTTTCTCTCACTGCCCTCTTGACTTCATCCCTCAGGATGAAAAGCTCCCGCACTAGAGCCAGTGTGGAGAATTGTATCGTCTCGGTCAGGGTTTTTGGATTTGTTAACATGGGTCTTTGTGTAAGATGAAAAATAGCTTATCCAGGAAGCTCAGGCCATCCCCTCCTCAACCCCATACATTAATGTGACTCTTCATTGTCCAGAAACTGTCATGATTATGTATGCTTCAGCCTTTTTCCTCGTCTCTTCCATCCTCTCTGCTGTGCAGCCTTGATAAATTTGCCCAGCCACAAAAAGAACCATCAAGATCTTTTTTTTGGGCAGGGAAAATTCTGTATCTTGTATTCTTTTTTTTTTATTAAATTCACTGCTGATATGACACATTTTTCCTCTCCTTTATCACATTTCTTTTTTTTTCTATACTCTCCGAAAAAACTTGCATACAGTATAATTTATCATACACTCCAAGAGTTGAGGATGTGCTTCAGAATCACAATTAATTTTATGCTCTAATGAAAATCTCTGATGTGAAAATGAGACGCAAAGGGGAGATAATATGGTCAGAAGTGGTGTACAGATCAGAAGAAGTTTCAGGAAGTGCCAGTGTTTCAATTTGTGCAATATTTGGTTCACAGCTTTGATTTCCCATTGATTATTTCATAAGATCCGCATTTTGACATATTTTTCTAGGTTATGTGACAGGTTTAAGACTGAAAAACATCTTAAAGTTAAAGTTCCTGTGACCAAACTGAAAGTATTTTCACTTTAGTTTGAGTTTAAAATAAAATTCTTGCACCGAAAAGGAAATTATTTTTATTTAGAAGTGTAAAATTGTGCATTTGCACTCCTTGTAAATCATAATTTTGAACGCAAAGAGAGTTCAAATCAAACATAACCTCAAATTAAAAAGCAGAAAGCCTGAAAATCATAGTTATTAAACTGTTAGTTAGTATCAGGAATTGTTGTACAGATTTTAGGCATATTATCTTCCCCTTGATGAGATGTAAATTCCTTTTCAGTTTGCGAAAGCTCGGATCATTGAGTATATGAAAATTCTAGACGAAACAACATTTGAAATATTAAATTATCCGCACAAATACTTTTCACTCTTTCATGTGAGAAATTTACTTTTACAGCAATTCTCTCTCTCTGAAATGCTCTGAAACACACTTCCGACAAGAGTGAAGACTGTGCTCAGCAGATAAGAGGATTTCCTTCGGAAAATGGCAAGAGAGAGAGACGAGATGGTCAGTTAGGTTTGAGGGGAAACTTATTAGCATAAACTAAACTTGTGGACAAAGCAAAAATCTATATGAATAAATATTGAGGTCAAATTGTTCTGAACAGAGAGGATTGAAAGCTCTCGATGAAAGCTTTCAATCCATCTGACCAATTTCCGCCCACTTAAGCCAGATTACACCAAAGGCATTATATGTTGTACGTCGCATATCATATTTTGACTATAATCTCTTGATCTATTACATGACTAGTGGCACTGCAGCCAGAGCCCAATCACAAAGTCGCCACCGGAGGAGGAAACTAATGTGTGCCACATTTGGAAGTTATTCAGCCACAAAGCAGCTTTTGTTTCATATTTATGGATAAAGACGGAGATTGAATCGGGGAATTAAAATATCTGCGCAAATACTCACGTTTTCCGTATCGTAGATCAGATTTGTCGGCCGGAATATTGCCGTTCGGCTCCAATCTGTCCAAGAACTCGTCGGAATTGTAGCCATTGAAGACCTTTCCACCGTGATTCTGATGACCACCCCTGTGATGATGGTGATGGTGGTGGTGGTGCTGATGCGATTCCTCGTCCTCTCGCGAAATTGCTGCAAGGAAATTAGAAAGGGAAAAAAATGGGAATCAGTGAAGAGCGCAAAATTTTCGCTAATAAAATTTATCACATTCTCTCAACACTCTCAAAATACAAATATATAATATATAATAAAATGCTTCTGGCAATGTTATTTCCCATGGTGTATCGCGAGCGATGGTCCAATGCGAAAAGGGAAAAGAAAATACACATTTTTCTCTCTCTCTATAAATTCCCTGACGATCCAATTTCGATAGACTTTATGTTGGCACCACGTCATAACTTATTCCTTTCATTTATATTCCTTCTACCACCATGATATTTTTACTTCTCTCTCTCTCTCTTCGAGTCCACAGTGTGACTCATCCTCAAATAACCCAACGACTTTCTGCATCACACACGAAATGCCAGTGGATATTTTGCTCTTTCCTTTTTTCGCAAAAAGGCAAGAGAAATGACACAAAACATACCAAACAGGAGTAAAATCGAAATAGAAAAGTCCAATGGAGTCATGAAACTGAAAATTTATACCCCAAAAGATAGCAAAATACCCAGAGAGATACTCTGAGAACTGTGACACAAATTTCCTCATCGCGCGCGCTTTTCTTCCTTCCACGTTCCCGGAACATAACACTGCAATATTTTACCACAATGCCATCACACTATATGGGAAATGCTAAAAGATACACGACTGGGAAACGTGTCAGTTGTAAAGGAATGAAGCAAAGACATTTTTGGAAAATTAGAAATGAGATTCGACGGTTAAATCCAAAACTATGGAAAGTCGATTTTTCTCATTATTAACGTTTAATATATTCTTGGAAAGTTTTTCATTCTGTTTAAGTACTAAGAAAATTTTGAGATTTGTATTTTATGGCGCAAAAGTAAGAAATTCTTTCTATCTAAATAATTCAAATTGAAAAATTGTTTTTCATTGTGCCGTGAATCATATTAAATGTGGATTATTAAATGGAATATTCATTAATATTTGTCATATTTTTGTATTTTTTCACTCGAAAATTTTAAAGCAAAGTTCAATTGAAATGTTTTTAGAACTTATTTGAAGAAAATTTACTCGAAAACTACCAAAAATCAATTCTTTTTCAGTTTTTCAATTAATTTTGCCATATTTTAGTCAAAATACCAATAAAATCAACTGAAACATTCACAAAATAATTATTATAGAGCAATAATTAACACTTTATCATACCATTAGTGGGTGTTTGATTTAAAATTCGTCAAATTTCCCGTTGCATTGGAGCTTAGATGGGAGGAAGAACATCGCGAAAACCTTCACGAAAATGAATATGAAAGCCAAACTATTGAATATTTTAACAATCTTCCATACCAAAAAACCGATTAATTAATACTAATGACAAGACAAACCACCTGAGAGAATGCTCTTGAAATTGATTTCTCCCTTCATGAAAGTCCCAAAAGCAATTTCTTCAAATGACAAATTTCCTTCACACACTAGTAATTGCCCACTTCCATCCCTAAACTACAGCAAAATCCACCCCGACAATGGCCAAGAGGTGATCGAAGACCATCTCTTCGGGGCTCTGAGCACTTTTGCGCTCAACAGGGAAATTTCAATGGATTCATTTGCGGAAGGGACGCGCGCCCAGACAGAAGTGAATTAGTTTGATAGTTGAGGGAATTACTTCAAACTCGATTAGCTTCGAAAGGAGCATGGAATAAATTGTTTTGTGCGAAGGGTGCAAAAGTTTGGTCAAATAATTGCAGTTTAGGATTCAATCAACTGTAATTACAGTTGACTTTTCTTCCACCCAGAAAAAAAAATTGGGGAAGCAATTCTTGTTCCGAGAATTCATCTAAATTCCTTCCAAAACCTCCAGAGGGAAAAGAATTGCAGAAAGCATTCCAAGTGGAAAACTTTTTGGCTTTTATGTTATCTACAGGCGATTCGAAGAGTGCAACGAAATCGCTGAATTTCCGTTGAAAATGTATCACAATTTAATATTTAATGCCACATTGCAGATATTTTCCTTTGTGTGTTCGCCTCTCGACCGTCGTATTGAAGTCTTGAGGTGTTTTTCTCCGCCAGAAAAAAAATGCACTCTGTCTAAACATACATTTGTCGAATAGGAGCATAAATATTTGAGAGCAAAGTCAACTCTGTCTCTAGGCATGATTTTTGGCCTCCACGACGAACATTCACGCTTATCGATCTAACACTGGCATCACAGAGTATCTATTTAAAGTGGAGTTTAGAAAAGCTCTCGAGCCAGAGCTTTTCTAAAAGTGGATTTTGAGAGAGGTTGCTTCCGAGTCGAGCCGCAGCAAGACAGCAATTTCTATTGTTTGGAGTGATAAATAAATCTCTCAGGCAAATACCACTAATGCCCTCTCTCTCTCGGTTAACCCAATACAGAAGAAGAAAAATGTCTTGCAGTCGACTTAATATACTCTTCCAATTAAAACCAAATTACAGTCACAGCAACTGTTTTCTTAATAAATTCAACTGAGAAAGTATGTGACTTCCAACGGGGGAAGATTTATGCTGAAAGTTTGCCCTATTTATTTGTCAGTTTGATACAAGACTTTATTGCTGATTCGTCGGCATCATGAATTTCAATTAAATATTAATTTCAGCATGTTCTTCGCCAACCACCCCAAAAAGGGAGGGTTGTTGAGTGCAGAATTCTGTGGTAACTCCACAAGCGTCAAGTAGTTGATAACTATATTACATTGGCGTGTAACTCGACAACCCTTAGCAACTTTATGTCGTATAAAATGCACTCTCTTCGGCCTCTCCTTTATTGGCGGGAAACATGAGTAATATACGCCTTTCTATGACACTTTTACTGCACTTCCACACACGACAAGTCATATTCGACTCACCTTGCCTCAGAATCAATATTCATTTTCACACAGTATTAACTTACTAAGATAATCGCGTGCTTGAATTTCATTCAATGAAGATTCACACACAGAATCTTTTGATCTCTCCCAACACGTTGTATGCCAAGAATTCCTTTGACAAGAAAATGCATTTTTCCATATGATATAAACTTCCTTCCCTTTTGAAGAGTAGCAAAATATGAAATTGAAAACCTGCACAAGATGATGGAAAATTCTCCATCTTTAGTGAGGAGAAACGTGAAGACTTAAAATGGCAAATATGAGAATGCAGAGGCAAAATGGATAAAGTATATGAGAGAGTTTATGTAAGAATCTCGTGAAGGAATTGTGTATTTTTCTTAGAATAGCTTCTCTCTTGGTAAATATTAATATCACAGAGGGATTTTGTGGCATTCAATTAAATGTTGTACAGTGACTTCAAATCAAATAGGATCACCACAAGGCTCAGAGACATATCGATATCGAAATTTTTCACCAATCTTCCCTCATTAGTAAGGATTCACTTCAATCAATCGTACAACCTTAACAGATCCTGAGAAACATTTGAATTCTTGCCACTTAAACATGTATTTGGATCTCAATGAGGTTTAAATGTATCCAGAATGTCTTCAGGATAATTATCCTTTGGATTTTCATATTTTATCTGGACTTTATAAGTGTTCAATATCAAAATTTGATTGAGTTTGATACGCGCGACTCCAAAGGATCAAACAGAAATTTTTATCAGCTGCACAAGAAAGGACATTCAATCAGGAGAATACCCAGAAGGATCTCTTATTCCAGAAAAAGAGTTTTAAGTGCAATTGAACGCGTAAAAAGTGCCGCGAAGAACTTTTTCAACAAATTTTATGCAATTGTATGCAGAAAAGCAGGTATTTTCGTAAGAAATTTCTGCCTTATTCAATCTTGGGGAGAAATTTCTTTTTTCTAGCACAATTTTTTAGCACTGTGAAAGGGTTAACAAGCACATCTCCCGAGTTTCACTCTTTTTCCTCACTATGCGTGTATTGAAGCCCGGCGCTAAAGTCATTAACTTGGCGTATCTGGCGAGGTAATCGACGAGAAATCTCTTCCGTGTTTTACAGTTTTCATCTCCATTGAATTGGAGAATTGATTGGAAAAGCGCTTTCAGTGTGAAAGGAATTTCCAGGAACTTTCCTACCCTCTGTGAATTGACTGAATGTGTGCAGGGAAGACATTTCAGTGGTTTGTGGCGTGAATGGAAGCAAAATAAGCTACCTGTAGCTGTACAAACCCACCCCATTTGCCAATCCACCCGCGATTTTTCACTCTCCATTAGCCGTGCCTTTTAATCGATCCCAGAGATATATGACGATGCCAAGGGAAAGAAGTAGAGTAAATAGAGTTATTCACAGACTTTCCCACTCACTCAATATAATATATATTATGCATAGGGTGTGGAGTAAAAGTCTCCCCTGAGAATGCCTCTCGCGGTGCTGTGAAGATGCAATTACAGCTGATGAATTCGCTCCATAATGAGTTTGTGTGCTGTAAATGTCAGGCGATCCACCTTTTCTCGAGACATCTCGTGCCACCCAGTGCAAATAAATTAGCTCTGAGTGATGAAAATGGGTCATCCATGGTTGATGTAGTCTGAGGAGAACATCTACAGGTGAAAATATTGCACTCGCTATATCAAATTCAATTTCACTCCTCGCAAAAGCGTATTAATTTTCAATGGAGTATCTCTCTCTCTCGTAGCTCTGCAGAATTGCATCCCCATTCTCAAGTGGTGCACCTCGACAGTCAGTGAAAATTGTATTTTTCCTACAGTGAATTAATAAAATAGCGCCATATCGAATTGAATTGCTAGCGCGCAATCATACAAAATCACGCACGATTTACCTTTTTCCAGTCAAGGCTCACTCAAATTCTACCCCATCGTTATCGCGCGCCTCTTCGGCGAATGGGAAAAGCTCTCTCCTGGCGCAAAAGCTCTTCTGCCATGCGAGCAAAGACAATGGCAAAATCTCCTGCCACGCACAATACAATAGAGAGCAATTTTGTGCCGTTTGATGGGGAAAGGCGGCGAGTCAACAAAGGGATTCGTTGATCCATTGAGGCGTGAATTTCACCTTTATACACACACACCAGCAAAATCCAGGGAAA